GAGAGAATTTGTGATGATTAACCTTTCTGTTCAGCTATCAATCTGCAAAACTTGAAGCTGAGATTGCTTCTAAATAATTTTTTGTCAACATGTTTATGCAATCAGAGACTGATTAAAAAGATAAGAAAGCATGATGCTTTCAGGTCCTGAAAAATACAGGTCCAGGGTTACTGCTGATAAACAAAAAAAGCTGAAATCTTGTTCAGGCTTTTAGAAAAATATTGCAGATGATTTAAACACAGATAAACACAGGAATATATATATATATATATATAATTTTCACCTCGCTATGTTTAATAAAATGTTACTGAAATGTTAGCATATGATTTAAAAATGCACATTTTCACAAAATCTAGGGAAAAAAAGTTTTAAGGTGCAGCTATATATTTCACTATATTTCGTATTTCCAGTATGCATCCATTTTTTCCTTAATTCTCTGGGTTTTAACAAGAGGAAAAAGCCCATGATACTTGCCTGTTGAATACCTTTCTGGAGTTAGTGTCAAGAAAAAAGGTGGATTGGGTCCTACCAGTTAGTTTTACTTCTGAAGCACTGCTCAAATTTATAGAAGATAAAAATCATACATACAAGCTATAGGAAAAATTTTCTGTTTTATGAATGACAAAGTATCCCTGAATGACAAAGACAAGTACTTAAATTATATTTTAACAACTTTACCTACATTGTAACACCATAAATCATTTATATCTGTTCAAGATATCAAGAATTGCTGGACAATTACACAAATATTGTGTACTGTTAATGGCAATCAGCAAAGAAAGAAAACATTCAGATACATCACTTTTCCATCAGACGAAGTCTTAGGCTGTGCTTAGTTTAATTATTTTGAACTATGTGATCAATTGAGGTAGTGACTGCTGCAGCACAGCACATCAACCCTCAGGAATTCTGTGCAGCCACCGAGGAAGTACAGGCTCTACAGTGGAGGGAAAAGGTTCCTTTGTGCAGAAGGTCCAGGGGCAGCTTGTCAGAGGCATTCCAAACACACTGTGCACACATACTAATTTTTCTAAACACTGTATTCAAAATAGTTTCACCGGTGCTGGATCACTTGTTAACAGTCTTTACCTTCCTAGCTAATGAACACTAATGCCAGGGGCCATTGGAACACAGAAGCATTTTACAACTGTGCCATCAATAACTGTGTAATCATGTAATCATGAAAATGGAGTGTGGGCTAGAAGCTGGCAAGTTCCTGCATATTTGATCAGTTCTGTGAACAGGTTATGATATTAAAAATATTCTCACCTTCTCTTTATTAAACTGGTATTTCGTTTTACTCGTGGAATTAATTTACATCTTCACTCGAAAGGATTTATGTGTCTGTACTCTTTATAAACTACTAAGATACAGCCACCTACAACCTGCTTGCTAAGTAAAGCAGTGGAAAAGGATATACTCCTGCTATTGTTAGTATTTTTTGTATTTTTTCCCCAGTTATCAATAGTTTGCCTTCTTTTCACAGCTTCGTATGTGTTAAAAAAACCCCCAATCATTACAGTCCTGGAAGGACATTTTATATACTAGATTAAGCTCTGACTCTGCTATTAAAATGTATTTTAAGTTGTACAAACTGACCCCTTGCTCTTTCCCTGTGATACTTCCCACAAGGAGAACAAAGAGGAAAAAAATACTGAGCTTTTCTTACAAATGTGGCTGAGGAGATTCTTTGGGGAAAAAGAAAGTGTTATTTATTCTGCTTCCTACAATGGCAGTGATTTCCACATGTCTATCTGTGCTGGAGGAAAAAAAAAAAGACTAAGGAAATATCGGATGTGTCTCTGCCTATTAAAAGAACTTAGTTCAAAGAGGGCAAAAAATCGGAATTTCTGGGCTTCTTATAATGAAAAGGAATGTAGAGTTTGTGTTTATGGTGCCTGTTTTACCTGGGTCATTTACTCGGCTGATGTACTTTGTAGGCTACTAACACTAATCTACAGATGTTAACACACTGTAAACAGGGCTGAAGGAAGACCATGGGGAGACAAGTTTTTAAGCTTTACTCTTAAACAAACAAATAACCTCCTCCCAAAACTAAAAATATACCCCAAAAATTTTTAAAAACCAACCCAAGGGGTTTGACTGTTTCTTTTTAACTCCTGCTCCGTCGCTTCAGTAACTTCCGAGCGGGGGGCGAAGAGCAGGAACCGTTGGGATGATGCGAACGGTGAAGATTAACCCGCGATGTCCTTCTTCACGCTGAGGAAAACCGCAGGGAAACGAGGAGCCCAGCGAGCAGCGGCGCGGCGGAGCCGAGCCCCGCGCAGGATGCGGCCGCCGCTCGGCCCGCGCTGCGCCGCCGCGCCGCTGGGGGGAGTCGGGGCGCTTCCGACCGAGCCGCGCCTGCGGCGGGAGCGGCCCCGCGGGCCGGGCCGGGCCGGGCCGGGCCGGAGCGCAGAGGGACGGGACGGACGCGGCACTGGCCGCCGTCACCCAAGCAACATCGTCGAGCGGGAGCGGCAAAAGGAGGCCCCGGCCCCGGCCCCGCCCGCCGGAGCCGCTCACCTGCCCGCGCCGCTCCGCCCCCTCCGCGCACCCGCGGGCATTTGGCGGCCGAACGCCGGCCCACCGTGCCCCGCCGGCGGTGTTGGCGTGCCCGCGGCGGCGGGTGGCGGAGCGGAGCCCCGTCCGCGGCTGCGGAAGGTCGTCCCGCGCCCCGCCGGGTCCCGCAGCGCTGCGCTGTGCGTGCCGAGCCCCGGCGCGGGGGGAGCGCGGGGAAGGAGTTCGCTGTTTCGATGGAATTTCTCGGCACACGGTTTTTCGTGGCAGGCGGAAACTCGTCCGCACGCGGGTCCCGCGCCATGCCTGTCGCAGCATCCGGCGTTGAAATGGTTACCTTTAGCAGCAAGGCTGCACAGGAACCACTCCGAGTTCTTAGTAATTCAATTAGTCAGGTTTCCAGAAGGTGGGGTTGGGTCTTTTTTTTTTGGCATGGAGGAGGAGAAGCCCGGGACGACGCCTCCCTTCTCGTGTTGCAAGCCAATCAGGTCGAGGTGTAAAAAAAAAAAAATAAAAAAAAAAAAAAAGGGGAAAAAAAAAAAGGAATCTGTAAGCAAACAGCAGGCTGTGTCCTGACTGGCTGCGTCCGCAAATCCCCCCCTTTCCAAAGTAAACTGCATGCAAAAATCCCACATGATCAAGCAGCAGCGCCCGTGCTTCGAGCTGGCTGCCTGCACCTCCTCGTCGTCTTCATCCCTCAGGCACACCGGCGCCAGATCGGACCCTCCCGTGTGCATGTATGTATGCGTGCCGGGTGTGTGTGTGTGTGCGCGTCTGCGTACCTCGCTATACCGCCTATACATCTCTGCGGCTGCCTGTCGCACACACGCATGCACAGAGACAGCTCAGCACGCCAGGCTCCTAGCTTTTCCAGGTTGCTGATGTCGGATTTACACGCAGTGAAGGGACCGGTCATTGCAACAGGGGGCGTGACTGTTTAAAGATTTTTTTTTTCTCTCTCCCATAAAGCTTTTTTTTTTTTTTTTTTTCAAAACTGACTTTTGCCCCTCCAATCCTCGTCGCTCTTTACGATCCCTCCCTGCCTGCCGCTGCATTCAAGTTTATTTATTTGCCTGCTGGCGTGGTATATTTTTCCTTGCTGCTCTTGCTGCTGCTTCAGAGGGAAAAGGGGAGCAGCTGTTGGGCAATACCGAGAAGATCTGGGGTGGTTGGTTTTTTTCCGATCTCCTTATGTAGTCATCTGAGGGGTGGATTCTTTTTCTCTCACCTCCTCCCTGCTCCTTCAAACTGTTTTGTCCTTCCGCAGAAGTTGATGTTCACGGGACTGGACCCTGCTTTATCTCAGAGAGGCTCCGGGAGGCTGAATCAGGAAATTTCCGCACCTCGCCGTATCGCTCCATTCCAGCAGGAGAGGCCAGCCAAGACCAGCATCGTCAGAGGAGTTTGCAGGCTTGATTTTGCACTTCTCCGAGATTTTGCTTTTCTCCACGCCCTCTCATAGAACAATATTTTTAACTTTCATCTCCTTGGTTTCCACGCCGCTATATTTCTTGGATTGGCCGCTCTTTTTTTTTTCCTGCCCCCCGCCTTTTTTTTTTTTTTTTTTCCTTTGCTGTTACTCAGTCCTTGGTGCATCCACCACCCAGGAACAGGAAGGACAAGAAAACCACTCCACAAAGTCTCCTTCAAGACACTCCGTGCTGCAGAACAGGCTTCTCAACTCCATCAGCGCAGCAAGCAAACTCCTCAGGGCTTTTGCTTCTTCCCCCCTCTTCCCCTCCCCCCACATCTCCTTTTTTTTTTTTTTCCCCCTGTTTTTGTTTGTTACTCATTTGCGGGGAGCGGAGGTCCAGAAAGGAAGACACAAACTTTGTACTTTGAGATCTGCGGGTACTTCTCCTCCTGCTCCCAGTCGGCGGCCTTTAATATATTGCCAGGACCTCCCGTGGGCTTCCAGGGGAAAGATCTCCTTCCCCTCCTCCTCCCCGCTCTTCTCCCCGTCTCCCGCTCGCTCGTTCGCTCCTTCCATCCCCGCGCACTCCGGCCATCAGCGCCGCCGGGGCCGCTCTCAGGGGCGGAGGAAGCGCTGCTCTCGCCCGCCCGCCGCGCCGGCGGGCCGGTGTATGTCGTGCCGTGGGCTCTGCGCGGGACTCCCGGTGAATGAGCACCGCCCGCCGCTTGCCGCCGCCACTCGTCTCGGCCCCCACCACCCCCTGCCGGGGTGAGGCTTCCTAAGGGGCCGCAGATCGCCCTCCCTGCCTGCTGCTCGTCTGCGGCGCCAGGCGCCCTCCGCTCGCTGCGGCGCGGCACGCCGCGGAGCCCACCGCCTCCGCGCTTCGCTTTTTATTCATTCACCCCGCAGCTCCCGCGCCCCGGCTCGGTTCCGCCTGCCTTTTTCCCCGTTCGTGGCTTTTTAATTTTTTTTTTTTGTGATTTTTTTTTTATTATTATTTTTTATTTCCCCCGTTTTCCTTTTCTTTATTCTTCCTGCATCCCGCCTCCCCGCGCCGCCGGCCGGGCGCGATGCCGCACGTGGAGATGCTGCTGCTGGCGGCCGCGGCGCTGTGGGTGTGCGTGCGCGGGCAGGAGCCCGGCGCCAAGGCGGTGGCCGACCGCTACGCCGTCTACTGGAACAGCTCCAACCCCAGGTACGAGGGGCGGCCGCGGGCCCGCACCGGGCGGGCGGGCGAGCGGGCGAGCGGGCGCACAGCGGCGCTCCGGCGCCGGAGACTCGTGTCGGGAGACCGGCTGCAAGATAGAGAGGAAAAGTTTTCTCTTACGGAGGTTCAGGGCTGCAGGCAGTGATGGTGGGGTGGGTGGCGGGGGGCGATTTTCTGCTCCCCTCTCTCCCTTCCTTCCAAGGCTTCACCCGGGATCGGCCGCCGCCGGCCCGCGGGAGCCGGATGGATGCGCTCCCGGCGGGGAGCATGGGTGCCCCTCGCTGCGGGGCAGCCCGTGTCTGCTGCGAGCCCTGCTCCGGGAGCTCGGCAGGGATGAGGGGCACAGGTAGTGGCCTCCCGGGGTGCCCCTCAAGGGCGCCCCGAAGGGTTCCTGCGGCGGGCCCGGCGGGCCGGCTGCGGGCAGAGCTCTGCGCCCTCGGCGGCACCTCCGCGGCACCCCGGGTGAGGTGGTTGTCCAGGAGAGGCTTTGCCCGGCCGTGCCCTGCGCTGCCCACCCGGCGGGAGGCTCTCCCGGGCGGGCTGGAGGTGAGGAAGCGAGGTAGGTACGCCGTCCCTGGCCGGGGTTTGCCGGTGCCGCCGGACACAGGACTGCGCATCGCCGGGGTCTACGCAGTCGGGGCCGAGTGGTGCTGGCGCAGTCGCCCCGCTCCTCTGGCCCCGGAGGATTCCTAGCGCCAGGCTCTGAGTGCTGTTCAGCACTGGAAAGGGAGGTTTCATTTAATTTTATTTTTTTTCTGGAGTTTTTCCTCATGTTTAGCATCAGAAAATTTCAGTCCTCCTCCAAATGGTATCCATGTGTTTAGGCAAAAAGTCAGCTGGGCTGTGTTTTAAATATTTTTGCCTTTTCAAAGTGCCCGTGGCAGGCTTACTTCATCTTATTTTTTTTTCTATCTTTTTTCTTTTTTTTTTTTTTTAAATGGTAAATTTGGGGACGTTTTATCTTAGGTTATCTCTTTTTTATGCTTCTGATACTGCTGTTTGGCTTGAGATTAGCACATTGATTTTTGTCACAGGTCATGTTTTTTAATGGATCTCTGTTGCCTGCAGAAAACTCCACTCCTCGGTATTCCACAGCAGGTTTAAAATAGGTGATGCAGAAGTTAAAGGGCAGAATTTTCAAGTGCCCAGGCTTAGCTAGTCTGTCCAGTACTTTAATACTGTGCTCCTGGTCTCAACCCCTCAGCAATAAACAGTTGGCAAAAAAAACGTGAGGCAAAGAAATAGAAACAATCATGTTTGGGTATGATGAGCATCTATGATTTGAAATGCCTCTCCCTACATTTTCCTCTTTCTACATGTGTTGAAAAAAGCTGCTCAGTGTAAATACACCTCACATCAACCATCAAAGAACATATGTCCCAAAAAATTGCTTGCCTCTAAAAACCAGAATCTTTATTTCTGTTGTTATGCAAAATGAAATATAACTGCTAGAAAAAAAAGTTATATTCTCAAATTCCACCAGGCAAAAGGAGGATCACTGAAAGAAATAGATTTGACTAAATGCACACATTGCTGGCATAACAGTTTAAAAACTTCAAAAATACCCTTCGATTCAAGATTTTTCACTTGTTTTCTTATGTGTGATAATCTTAACTGTATGTAGGTAAAGACAGTTGAAGGTACAAACAGTGCTTACCTAGTCGGTAGGCATTATATACTGAATTATATTTATAAGGATTCTAGTAAGTTAAGTCATCTGTTACTACTATTAATGGAATCTCTTAATAATCCAACATCAAATATCAGCAAACTGCAAAGAAAACTTAGTTTTATTATTTTTCCAAACAGCAGAGGAAGAGTTTTGAGATGTTTCTAAACCTTCTGTTTTAAAAAAAATATGTCATGTCTTAAAACACTGCTCTCTCAAAATGGATGTATCCATATGGAAGTCATGTTTATTTGTGAATAAAAATATGAGAAAGAGCAGAGTGCAAATGCAGCTCTCCTTTGTTTTATACAGTGTGCCAGTTTGTGTGTGCTTTCCAAATAACACAAGCATTACAGAAAAACACCTGAATGCCAGCTGGAAGAGACCTAAAGAAAAGAAAGCACTTCTCTTTTGAATTAGTTTCATCAGAACCTGAGCTGAAGGCAAAATTGTCTTTAGATATCAAAATTTTTAGAGCATTTAACAGTGTTGCAGGAATAACTTTGCAGTGATTTATCCTCATCTAGAGGCAGATTCAGGAGATGAACGCATGTAGAAGTAAGTAGAGATGCTTACTTGGTGATAACTCGTTGAAATTAGAGGACAAAATATACTGTTATTCTATAAACACAAATACTACCATTGTGATTTAGCCTGCTTCTTTATTGTGTTTATTCAGAAATAACAACTGCCATAGAACCAATTAATTCCTTTTAAAGAAAAAGGAAATACTGATCATCTTAATAATGATAAAGGCACTTTAAATTAAGGTTTCATTTAAACATTGAAGAATTTAATAATGGTTGTCCTTCCTTCAGATTTGATGGTTTAATTTTTATTAGTATTAGACTGCAGCAACTTACGGAAATACATAAAGATTTCATTCTCATTGAAAGACACTTTATTAGCAAACTGTTGAGTGGCCCAGCTGATAAGTGCTCCTGGTGTGAACAATGTTTGGTAAATAAAAAATCACGGGAGTCTATTAGCAAAATTCATATTACATTGCTCGGTTAGTTGCCAAAGTTCTGCTAGAGCAATTAGAAAGTGTATGGTCATTATTGTCAGCATGTATGAGTAACAAAGTTGTGTATTTTTACAGAATCAAAGTCAGTTCTTAGAAATGTTTAAAGTATTGCCATGCCTTACTTTTCCTCTGTATTTAATTATCAGCATACACCTTCCATAAATGCTGTAGTCCAGTACCAGTTGAAAATATGCTCAGGTATTAAAATTTTGAAGTGTAAATAAAATACTTTTTTTAGTCTTTCTCTCTTTTTTTTCTTTCATTTCTTCTTTTTATTTACTTTTTTTTTTTTCGAATTGGAAATGACTCCTCAAGTAAGCTCAAAAATGTGATTTATTTGTTTATTTATGTAGGCTTAGAATTAAGTGTACATAAATTTTAACTGTTGCATTAAAGTGCATTAGTCTTTCATCACTGCATATATGTTTTCTCATATGAGACTACAAGCTAGTATCATCAGGGAATATTATTCTGAATACAATGCTCAGTTTTGGAACGGAGCATATTAATTTAATCTTGATTGGTAGCATCCCTTTAATTATAATTCAGACTGAATGTTGTGTATCAGGAACAAATTTTGAAGCGGTCTACCTACATCATACCTGCTACTGTTTTTAATCTTGTCACAGTTCAAGCTGAGCTACTTGTTGTAATTATTGCTACGTTTTTCTGCTTGCCAGGATTATGCTTTAAGATTGTGGTTTCTATTTAGATATTTCCCTGTAAGTTGTTTCAGTGTCAGGTTATGTAGCTTCATAAATTGTTTGTTAGTTTCAGAGTGGTTAAAGTATGCTTTAATTGCAAGTCTAGTTTCTGGTCATACGTAGAGGCCATAGCTTCTAGTCTCACAATAGCAAATATTTTTTATTAGGAATATTGCTAGGTTTGGCTGCAGTTTATACAGGAAAATGGCACACCAAATCCATAGAAGAATCATTATAAAGACGTAGGATGCTGATATATTTTCTCTTTGTGTACTTATGTGGATAAAAATCAAGAAATCAGGTGGTAATTAGTGAATTTAGGTACTGAGAAGTAATTTCAGCTTCAGCTGGTGATTTCCCATAATTAAACTACCACAATTTGGTCAGTGTTGCTAGAGACTTTTTTTTCTAGATAGATATTTAGGGGCAGCAAACAGAAACATGAGGAGATACTTCTGAAAATTCTATGCCTAGACTAGAATTTCACAACCTGGATTTTGTAGCTGAGTATTTAGGCAATGTTTCAGAAAAGCATCTAACTTCTTTGAACTCAATCCTTACACACCTAAGTTCTAAGTTCTGCTGCAGTTGGGTGGGTGGGTAGAAGTGTGCTTAAGTGCCTCCCTGGGCCAGCCACATTCACAGATTTAGTTTTGAGAAGCTCTGGATGTGGCAGCGTACACACACCCGGCACTTCTTGGAGCACACTCACGGGCTGGATGGATGTCTGAGTGTTCTGCCATCTGTTATGTGTTTGTGGATTCCACCATAGCTTGTTGGTTGTGTGTGCTGAGATCATGTGGCTGGTTTTTTGTTGGTTTGTCTTTTTTTTTTTTCCCATATAGATATAGTTCTGCCTATGTACAGAGTTGAGGGAAGCCTTGCAAAAATGGCTGGAATAGGAAGAAAGCAGTTACACATGTGTAAGAAAATGAAGAAGTTGTGGATAAGAAGGGTAAAGTCAAGGTGTTTACTTTGATGTTGGTGTTCTAGTTTAAATTTCTTATGTCAGGAGAAGCATAGGAGCCTAAGTACTTGGGGTATACCTACACATCCTTGTATTTATGTTGTATGTATATGTAAACCTATTTTGAATCAGCATAGCTTGCATTTTGAGAGCATTTTATCCAGCGGCTTGCTCTGAGAGCTGAAGAAATCTCTGACTGGTTCCTTGTAATTAAAAGATCAGTAGTAGAGCTGTCAATTCTTTACACCTACTTTCTCTGCTTTTAATAGTTTCATTAACACCTTATGTCTCCAAAAGAACGTGGGTGTTTATTTTAAAAGTGGGTGTTTGAAACAGTTTGAAATCTTCTATGGAAAAACTGCACAAAGAACAATAGTTTCACTGGCCTCCACCTTTGTATGAAAGGCACCTTGTTAAGTGGTACCTGATCTTCATTAAATGCTTCTTATTAAATCTTTTCTGAGTGCACATAGTCAGGACACTTCATTGCATTCTTTCTTCTAGCCCTATATGGTTTTTGAAAGGGACAGATAAAGATGAGCCTTCCTTTCTCTCCCCTGTTGCTATGATCCCAGCAATCTACCAGCTTCATGCTGGGCTGAAAAAAATGAATGAATGCAA